TTAAAGCTCAGAAGAGACCATTTTGTGTAATATTACACATACATGGAGGGAAGTATGCCACCTGGAGTTATCGCTTTTGCCTGAAATGTTCCACAGTATCTAAAACATTTCTGTCTCCATGGATACATCCGCAGGCCGTCAGTGTATTTTTGAGCTTTGAGCAACACCTGAAATTGAATAAATGTGAGAAATATTGTTTAATACCATAGTGAGGAACATTACAGGTGACATCTCCATGGAAACAACCATGCGCTGTACAATCCACCTCTAAAGTTCCGAAGTGCACCTTTAAAATGACTGTGAAATACATGTCAAAATGTTTAGTGGAGGTGTTAACGTTTCAGTTTGTAAGATGAAGGCTGGAGGCAATATTACACTGCTGGAATAAATCATGGAGGGGGAGCGTTGTGTGGGCGTCAAGGGAAAAATACACGCAGGTGCTCAGGTTTGCAGCTGTAAAGAGGTACAGTACAGTGTGTGATTGAAATGTTTTATATTTTATATTTTTATACTTTTCTGTCATTGTAGCGCTGCTTTTTTGAACTATGGCTTGTCAGAACACAGAACAAATCAAATTTAAAGCTCCACTGCGTAACATTTCTAGTGGAGGGCCTGCCACCTGCTTGTCTCCATGGAGATGTTATTGCTCTGTCTAGAATGTTCTACAGTATAGAGTAAACCCATTTATCACGAGAGAGATAAAATGATTTTTACCGTAGGAAGATACGAAGGGATGACTGTATTTTGAGCAATAGAAACACCTGCAATGACTAAATGCGATGGATATGTTTAATGTCATACTATGGAACATTTCAGAGAATGAGTGCTGCACGCATTTTAGACCCCATTTACACGTCGTACACAGTTAGTTTTTTTTTAAATGGAGACATTTCCCTTTGTTTGCACCCATCTTTTACACGCAAACAGCAAATTCGCCTCTGAAAATGAATATTTGTAAAAACTCCAGCTAGAATGGAGATTATTGAAAACTACGGTTTCGTGTTTGCGTGTAAAGTGAGATAAACAGAGTTCTAGGAGCTGACACGCCAAAACTGTGACCGATGTTTACTTTTTGCTCTGATGATGATGATGGAGCATTCAGAGCAGTAGTCACATTTTTTCTGGTACAAACACTTTTCATGTGTTTCATTTGCACACACAGCTGATGAATGAGCTCGGGGGTCAGCAATTTTACGACTACGTTAATAGATCTGTGGAGAGGCGAGCCCGCTCAGTAATGCACATTTTTCAAGTTATTTTTGAGTAATACTTACAACTGTAATGAAATAAATGCTACAGGTTTGAATCTAATCCAGGCTCCGCTCAGAGGCTTGGTGTAGTTATGATGGTGCTCGATGTCGTATTTATGCGAGTTGATGTAAACAAAACCTTTTTTGAAAACGATGCTGTGTGCACGATGTTATTTTGGAAAACGGAGGGAGAGAAAATTTTGTTTTTCAACATACCCAGCTATGTGTAAATGTAGTGGAGCCAAAAAATGTGAGCATATTACCCCGATTTAAGTGTTGTTGCAAAGGCTTCCAGTTCGTTTTAGAGTTGATTTTTAAGATTTTATTGTTTGTTTTTAAAGCTTTGAATAGACTGGCCCCACAGTACATCTCAGACCTCATCTAAATTCACTCCCCTATGTGTGCTCTGAGGTCCGAGGACTAGCTCCAGCTCGTGGGGCCTAAGTCGAGACTCAAAACCATGGGGGACAGGATCTTCTCTGTGGCCGGACCAAAGCTCTGGAACGCTCTGCCCCCCCACGTTCGAACAGGCCCCACAGTGGAGAGTTTCACGTCTCGTCTTAAGACCCACTTTTACTCTCTGGCTTTTAACACCGCGTGAATTGTGTGACCCTCTGTGCCTTTTATTTCATTTTATTTTACTTACTTATTGCTATTTTATGATTTTTTGTGGTTTTGCTTTTATTAGATTTTTCCTGGTTTTATTGTTTTATGACTGGCATGATCACATTCTTAGCAATTTACCTTTTTGTTGTCTTCATTTTACGAGCTCTGTGCAGCACTTTGGAAACTGCTTTGTTTGTAAAACGCGCTATACAAATAAAATTGATTTGGATTTGGAAGCAATAACATCTCCATGGACGCAAGCAGGTGCACTGTAATAAAAAAACACAAGATGATTTTCCATGTGTCCACAATCTCGTATTAACTTTATTTTAAGATATCTTTCTTTTTTGTCACTCTTACGAATTATAATTTCAGCATAATTTACCAAAGATTTTCTGAAATATGAAGCCAATTAGATCCAAATAAGATCCCATTCTTTATTGTGTCGTTCTTCTTTCTACCATCTATTCCACATTATAATCCTGTATTGTCCTGGGACCTTTGTGTAAACAGCGATGTCCCAGAAGCCCCGCCATCCACTACACTAAGTGATTTCACATCTCCAGGGACGGACCTTGCCTTCCGCACTGATTCAATTTGAGCAGATTATAATGTATTCCTTATATGGTCATAAATAAGAATCAGTAGGTTTTCATTCTGCTGGTAAATAGTACGGCGCAAATGACAAAACAGCTTAAGAAATCATCTGTGTGCACATTTTGGGAGCTGTTTCCTGTAACTTTTCTCGTATCAGTCTTCGCTGCGCATTTGGAAACAATTTGCTGAAATCCTTTTTTTTTTTTTTTTTGCATTCTTACATATTATAATTAGTGAGTATCATTAAAGGGACAGTCTGGAATTTTGGACATAGAACCTCATGTCTTACCCACTCCACAAAGCACCCGAGGGAAATCTATTATTACTCCAGACTGTCAATGTAAATGTCTGTGTCGATAGAATAATTTTAGAAGTAAAAATCACCTTGTACTTCTGACAGAAAGCTTAGCAGCAACGAACTGATATCACCTAACACCTATCTTACCGGCAAAGTAAAATTCCGCTGATGCTGAGAAAATAGTCCCTCAACATCGACGATTGATATGATGCAAGGTTAGTTTTATTTCAAACATTATTCTATCGACACAGACATTTACATCGACAGTCTGGTGTAATAATAGATTTACTTTGGGTGTTTTGTGGAGTGGGTAAGACTGTTTTTAGTGGCAGGAAAACTATGGTCATGGACATGCACTAGTCTAGCACCAGCGACCTCTGCAAATACAAGGACTGGATGGAATATTTTAAAAAGTGTCTCCACACGTCTCCAACACTCAATGAGGTCCTATGTCAAAAATTCTGGACTGTCCCTTTAAGAAGTTGTCAATACGATACATACATACCTCGATACATAGACGACAATACGATACATATCACGATACAGTGCACATTCAATTCGATACGATATGTTTCAAATCGATTTGATATGGTTCAGTAAAAAATAAAGGCTAAATCATGACTGTGATACTAAAAGTCTTTGTTAAACCACTTCTTGGGTAAAGTGAATATAAAACACAAACATTTTAATCTTCTAAACGGTGAAAATGTCAAATGTGCCGCATAAGAGTTTCCTTCCTCTGCTGTAACAAAATAATAAAAAATTTACCAAAAAATACTCTTGCCTATATATCAATACAGCAGCCCATGATATCAATACTGTATCATCACATTAAACAATACGATACATCGATATTTTGACATTTTTACACACTTCTAGTTATAATGTTGTTCCCTCATCAAAAATTCTGGAGAGGTTTTATATTGTATGTCATCCGTGCATGTTTGAGTAATTTAGCGATCTCTCCTTGGCCCTATTCAAGCCCTTCTTACTTTTACCTGTAAGAATCTGTCCAATGCTCCGCCCACAATCCTTCATCAACCATGCTCCCATACGACATTTCTTTCTAAGTCTTTATTTATAGAGCGTTTTTCACAGACATATGGCACAAAGACGCTTTACGGAAGATTATTCATTCACTCCTCACCCGGTGGTGGAAAGTCTCTATTGTAGCTACAACTGCAATGGGGCAGACTGACGGAAGTGCGGCTGCCAGACAATCAGCGCCATCGGTCCCTCTGACCACCATCACTCACACATACACACACACACACACACACACACCACTTTCATACTGTCAATTCTTTAAATTCTCCATAAATATACAAAAACATGACACAAACCTGATCACAACAACTTCACAAATCTGATGTCGTAGTTTCATTAGCAGGATCCATGCTGATTGTGATAGTGCTCTGAAGGGGGAGTGAGCAAATACAGGGAGGACTCAAAAACTAAGTGTAACTAAACTTGAATAACTTATATATAAATACAAATATATAATTTTCAAAACAACAAAAGCTAACATGATGGTCTAAATATGTTTTTTTTGCATTTAATACCCCATATATGTTAAATATTTCCTCTTTAATCTAAAATCTGCTTAAAGAATAGAAATTGTCTGTTGTCTTCCTGTTCAAAAATTGGCCCCACCTCTTTATAGCAGCATAACAATTACTCGAATATGTAGTAATCAATCAAAATACAACTTTAAATGAAATACTACCTGCTCCTGGCCTGGATTATCCTGGGAAGGGCACCTGACATAAAAATTTATCATCTGATTATGTAAAATCTCAGTTGAAATGACTTGCTTGGGGTTTAATTAATCACTACTACCACTGCTGACTCATTTTTATCACACAAATCTTCATAATTCTAACAAAATATATTGGATTTAATGACTAAAATCAGCCTACCTCATGTCTGATTAAAAAAAAAATCCATTATAAAGAATGTCTCTTAGTCATTATAAATCCAGTTTGTCTAGCGCTGCATAGCAATCTCTCCAGCTCAGGTACCGTGACTCATCCTCTGTCAGAACAATGGGGAAGTGCAAAGAGAATTTACTTTTTGGGGGGAAGGGCAAATAGAGAGATCCAGAAGTGTCAGAATAAATGAGAGCACAGAGCAAATATCCAGGGCACGCGACAACCATGACCTAGGACAATATCGATCTGAGAGACACCAGCAGCTACAGCGACGCAAGACTGGAGGACGGACAGACCGCGGAGGGGGAGGGGACTCACACGAACTCTACTGTAGACTGAAAAATGTAGAAGATTGGACTGAAGTAGCAGTAGTGGTTAAAGTTGAAGTACTGGCAGGTATTTGTTGTTTTTTACTTGTCGCTCCGAAGAGAGATTTGTCAAAAGTGGTGGAATGTAACGGAGTAAAAGTAGTCAACTTGGTATTTGTGCTTAAGTGGATTTGAGAGTGGATACTTTTTACTTTTACTTACACTGCATTTTTTATCAGGACTGAAAAGCAAAAGTATTTTTATTATTGTCTGAATCTGCTGAGGGTTTCTTTTTAAAACATGCATAATTTGAGCAAACACAAATATACAAAGAAAAGCAGCTGGGAAAAAAACTAAATCAAAATCACTGCATTCGAAGGTTTTTAAGATCTCAAAATCTGTGCGAAAAACATTTTACTCTTTAAGTACATTTTTAAATAGGTACTTATTAAATAATTGTACTTAAGTCAATACTCATGTGATACTTTTACTTTTATTTGAGTATTTTTTGCTCTGGTATCTGTACATCTACTTATGTAACAACTCGTAAAACGTCTTCCACCTCTGTTTATCCTAGAGCAAGGGTCAAATGCATACACTAAAAAACACTACAAAAAAACATTTATTTTGTTAAACTTGACTAAAGAGGGAATATTACACTTCTATTGTTAACACATAACATATTTAGATCACCATGTTACATTTTATTGTTTTGAAAATGCTAAATTCAACAACAACAAAAAAAAAACATGTATTAATATGTTTTTTACTCTTACTTTGGTCTCAAAAGTCACTTGCATTTCAAAGCACTACCACAACACAATCAGCTTGGATCCTGCTGATGAAAATACTGCACATCAAAGCAGGCTTGTCAAGTTGTTGTGTACAGTTTTATGTCATGTTTTTGTATATTTATATTTATGGAGAACATGTTAGCCTGATTCATCAACCGGTTTCACTTCGTAGAAACTATCTGACCTATCTGCATTAGGATTCATTCACTCGACGGTAGGCAGGTACTTTTTTTATTTAATCAATCGCTGATATTTTGTCTTTACATATGTAATGCGCCGCTAGCGGATCTAACTGGTATATTAAGCTTTTCCCAAATCCCATAGGAAGAAGGGCAATGACGCCTTTCCCCTTGATAAAATTCACCAAACATTCTCTTTGTTCCAGCTTTAAATCCTCGATCTCACGAGTCGTTGCCAACACAGAATGTCTGTCTCTTCGCTGATTGGCTGGTGCCCAGACTCGCCCTTCTAGGTTTTTTGTGAACCTTCTAGTGTATTCACATTCCTGATCTAGTCGCTGGAGAGGCTTGTGGGCTGAATAGGGCCCAGGAGAGATCGCTAAATTACTCAAACATGCACGAATGACATCCAAAACCCCTTCAGGCATGTTTTTGATGAGGGAACAATGTTATAACATGATAGAAAGCTCCAAAAAGTTAATGGTTACATCAGCATGTCTATGATTTTCTGGTGCAGGGTCCAGCACTTGCCAGAATTGCTTTGTCTGAAATGTCCCACAGTCTCCATGGAGACAAGCAGCTGTGGCAGCATCATGCCAAGTTACAGGTCAAATCTGTGAAGAGACGACGCCGCTTAAGAATGCATATTTCTCTTTTTCACTTTTTTGTTTTTTTTAAATAATGCAAAATAAGTTTAGTGCCATGCTGTGGAACAATCCTGGTAATAACATAATCTGAGTTTTGCAGACACTGCTGTATTTATATCATTTAATACACTTTCGGTTATATTTAGTTGTATTTTGATGCATGGACTGTATTGTGTTCCTTGACAACTTCCAAAACACTCTCTCTTTCTCTCTCTCACACACAAATGCGCACACTCCCTCTTTCTCTTTGTCTCCTGTCTTTCACTGCGTCTGTCCTCTGATTTGTTTATACCATATTCACATTGGCTCTATCTGTCAGGACACCCCGGATCATGCAGAGTTATGCCCGAAGCAGCTGTACTTCACTCTAAACTCACAGCTCTGTTTGAGTTCTGAACTCGGGGCTAATTGTCTAATCTTCTCAGCAGGTGCAGATACAGAAATAACAGCGGCGCAGACAGCCCGGCCTCCCGTACACTCCCATACAACACTGACATCACATTGTTTCCACCACTGTCAAATCTGCCGCCATGTGAGCTGTCAGACACTTCATTTTCTGTGATCACTTTAACTGGCTCATAAGCCCCTTGTCTGCAGGTCGTCTCCTTGTTACTCTGTTACGTAACATTAGACCAAAACAAACACAAGGCCACAGCCAAAGTTTAACAGTTTATAAAGCGTCAGTAGGGTTATTTGTGTTAATTTAATTTTCTCTTTTTTTTTTCATGCTTTTCTCCATGGAGATGTTATTGCTTTGTCAAAAATGTTTCACGGTATGGTATTAAGACTTTTTATCAACAGGAGATCAAACCAGGCCAAGTTACAGGTCAGATCTGTGGAGAGGCAACCCCGCTCACAGTCAGAATGCCTGTTTTTCAAAATTTTCTAGCAATAAAATCACCTGTAATTCAATAAATGTATAGGTAGAGCTGTTTAATGTCACACTGTGGGACATTCAAAGCAGAGTAATGACATATTCAAGAAGGTGACGGACCCCCAAACGAAAAATAAGAAAACGTCTTGGGGTATAATTTGTTTTAGCAGGCCTGCATGTTTTGATCAATGGTTCAAACAAATCATAGGCCTTTACCATTCTTACGCTGCACAGCAAAAACTGGAGGGTTAAAATTTTAGGGTAAAATATTTTTCAGAGTTGTTTTTAACACCAAAAGTGTTATTTTAACTATTAACTTATCTGAAAGTTAAATGGGGCTTTGATTTGGGGTTATTTGCCAGAGTTGATGTGGTTGAGGTTAATTCAACTTCCCTTAGTGTTAATTCAACTTTTCTCAGTGTTAATTTGGCTCCTCCCATTCACCACTTCAAACTCTTGTGGGAGCAGACCAGTTTGAACCAGTTTTGTACATAATTTCATCTTAAATTAACTAAAATAAAGTAAAAATAAAATAAAACACCTCCTGTGTGTTGTTTAGTTAAATCAGAATAACTCTACAAAGTGTTATCTGTTTACTCTCAAAACATTAATGTAACTCTTGATTTCAGTGTTAAACAGGAACTTTGATCCAGTGTTACTTAATTAACATTTCCAAAAATGTTAAATTAACTCTAGAACAGATTGAACTCATATAAACACTGAGAAAATGTTAAAGTTGATTCTGTGAGAGTCAATTTTAACACTCCACTTTTTGCTGTGTGATTTACGCCTACAGAAACAAATAAATAAAAGAGTATACATTGGTATTCCATGTTGAGAACTAACTAAATTCATGTACTGAAAAATATGTACTCAGAATCTGAATTTTGAAAAGTTTTGAATTCCAGTACGTTGCTCTTTCATTTGGTCATATTCACAATAATGAACAAACAGTAAGGTTTTTTAATTTAGCGTTAAATTTTTCATTGTTGTTGGGTTTCAGATGACATCACAACATGATATAGGCCAATACTATTTAATTCATAAATATAGGTATTGTTAAAATGCAAATTTATGTTGTAATATCACATGTTCTTGAATCTAAATGATTAGGTTTAGCATTTGTGAATTTACCTTTGGGATATTTCTCATGAAAGTACAATGTAATCAGTAGGGAAATGTGGCTCTTGCCCCCATCTGGGATCATCAAATTTCAGAATCTGAAACCCACCAATTCTCTGATATGATTCAACTCAGTATGAAAATATTCAAACTCTTCTAAATACAGCACTCTGATTGGACAATGTAACTGAATACATTACAAAACACATTGTGATGCAGAGTGCCTGTTCTGTATTCTGTAACGAAATTCAGGTATTACCACTGACTACTGATGGATTTCGATTTCTTGTCATAGGCACCGTTTTGAGGACCTATTATTCAAAAGTGGTAGCCTATATTCAGTTTTAAATTGCTATTTTCAATGACGGCAGACAAGATTCTTCATCACTCTGACACTTATGTGAATATCTTGCTGACGCTATTTGCTGATATTTCCATTAACTGCACATGGTTTGCGTTCATGCACCATTTCGAGTACTTTCTATTATTCAAATGACAGTATATTTACTTTAAAATGGTTACTTTTAATGACAACAAACATCACTCTTACACCCAGGTTAATATTTTACTGGCTCTATACTTGCTGATATTCCCATTAACTACACATGGGTTTCAATTTCTTGTCATATGCGCTATTCTGAGGACTTTTCATTATTAAAGAGATATAATATTTTTGTTTTAAATTCTTACTTTCAGTGGCAGCGGACACAGATTTTCATCACTCTCCCTGACCCCCATGTGAATATTTTGCTGGCTCTATTTGCTAATATTTGGATGCACATGGATTGCAATTTTCTGCCATCTGCACCATTCTGAGTGCTTTCTATTAGTCAAAAACAGTATATTTAGTTTAAAATGGTTACTATTAATGACAACAAACATCACTCTCACACCCGTTTGAATATTTTAATGGCTGTATAATTTCTGAATAACTCTTTGTCTTGTCAGTCATCATATTATTGTTGCAGTCTCTTCCTATAACCTCTTGTATATTCGCTGAGATTTTACATTTTATTACTTTTCAATTTTAATTTGACTTGTACATTCACATTTATATAATTATGTCTTATTGCTTATTGTCTCTTGCTCTTTTTTGTGACTGATTTAGAATGTATTATTACCATTTTATATGTTTTAATCTTTGTTATTATATTTATTGTGATGTGTGAGCTACTGTGTGCAAATAATTTCCCTTGTGGATCAATAAAGTTTGTCTAAGTCAGACCTGGGCATTGTCCAGCTCCCAGGCCACATACGGCTCTTTAGTTGACTCTGACGGGCCTGTTTAAGATAATTTGGAATTACAAAATAATCATATTTTATCATTTTCCTCATGCATGGACTAAAACTCCATTGTTTTTATTTTAGAGGTGTTTTTACCTCTGCCAAGGAGGTTATGTTTTTGCCGCCGTTTGTCTGTTTGTTTGTTTGTTTGTTTGTTTGTCTGTTAGCAACATAACTCAAAAAGTTATCGACCGATTTTGATGACATTTTCAGGATTTGTTGGAAATGTGAAAAGGAAGAACTGATTTCATTTTGGGGGTGATCTGGAAGAAATCCTGGATTCTGGATCACTTTGAAATTTTTGTTAACATTGTGGTAAATGGGGCCAAAAATTTAGTTTCTCAATATCTCGGTTAATTATTGACCAAACCCCATGAAATTTGACTCAGGGATGGACAATGGGATCCTCTTTCATATTCCAAAGGCTGATCCGGATCTGATCCAGAAGACTGATTCTGCGCTCTCTGAGTGCTTTTCTAGTTTTAAATGTGTTGATGGTTGCCTTACAAAAAAGACAACCTCACTTTTTCATTGCTTAGTCATAACATGGTCCAAAGCAAGAAAAATATCTGACAAAGGGTTTTTTTTGCTGAAACTTTATTTAAGAATAAAAACGCTTTTGGACATTGGCAATCTGAGTGTGCTATGCATTTTTTCACTTTTGTCTTGCTACTCCTTGCATTTGCACCTCTACAAGAATTTTGGTGTGCGTTTTCTGTTTCTTTTGATAACATAAACACTTACCAGTCTTACAATTCATATTATGCAGAATTAAGTTCAGCTTTTTGGCCCCGCCCTCCACCATATTTTCTGTTTCTCATGTGGCCCCATAGAAAAAATAAGTTCCCACCCCTGGTCTAAATCTACACATGGGTTTAAATTTTGTGTCATATTCACTATTTTGAAGACTTTTTATTATCAAACAAATATAATATTTTTGTTTTAAATTGTTACTTTCAATGGCAGCAGACAAAATTGTTTCATCACTCTGGTTGACTGACTCCCATGCAGTGTTGGGGAGTAATGTTACTGTTGATTAATGTAATGTTAATGCTAATGCTCAATGTTAATGTTACATGTACTGGAGTTACGTAATCAGAGTACAAATTATGAGTAACTGTATTCAGTTACAGTTACAGTTTCAGTGAGTGGTAATTGTATTACAGTTACTTTGTTGAAATAAGTGGATTACACAGCGGTATTTTCCTGTTTTTACATTCTGGGCTATATCCCTTTTTTTTCTTTTTTTTTTTTTTCCATAATTCCACTAATTGCTGGACACTAAACCAGGTCTAAACCAGGACTAAAACCAGGTCTAAACCAGGACTAAAACCAGGTCTAAACCAGGACTAAACCAGGACAAAACCAGGACTAAAACCAGGTCTAAACTAGGTCTAAACCAGGACAAAACCAGGACTAAAACCAGGTCTAAAACAGGTTTAAAACCAGGTCTAAAACCAGGTCTAAACCAGGTCTAAAACTAAACTAGGACTAAAAAACCAGGACTAAAACCAGGTCTAAAACCAGGTCTAAACCATGCCGCGCGGACCGTGTCTCCTCCTCTTCTATCAATAATATTTTTAATACGGTTAAGTAAAGTTTGGGCTTTTTATTTTCTTTTAACAGACAAAACATATTATGTGTAGATTTCCTAGTCTTTTTCTTCTCTACAGCAAATCAAGTAATCCAAAGTATTCAGATTACTTTACTCACTTTATGTAATTTAATGGATTACGTTACAAACTACATTTTGAGGTATGTAATCTGTAATCTGTAGGGGAATACATTTTAAAAGTAACACTCCCAAGACTGCTCCCTTGTGAATATTCTGACAGATCTATTTCCTTGCACTGGGCGGAGGTGTATTGTCGGTGTCGGTGCGCGCTGCGGCGGCCTGCTCTCTCCGCGCAGTGACACAGTATCCTGACAGCAGCAGCGCCGGGACTCTCTGGCGCGCCGGCTCCAGGACCAGACTGCGCACTCCTCCATCTCTGCACATCTCCGCACAAACTAGCGCCTTTTTTCTTTTGCACACACACCCCGGGCTGCTCTGCGTGAGGCGTGCATGATCCTCCGCCTCGCCGCGCTATCGTAGGTGATTTCTTACCCATGTACATCAGATTTACCCTGTTGTTTTAGGCGTTAACTGATTTTTTTTCCCCTCATCAGAGCTCTATCCATCAACGGAGACGCGGGTTTTCCTCATTTCTCCGTCTCATCCTGCAGCTTTAAAGGCAGATCTGATTGAAACATCCCACTCGCAGTTCATCTCGTGAACAGAGCCGACTGACAGCGCCAAGATGGGGGTAAGAAACCTGCATTTTTCATTCATTTAACAGCGAACCAATCAAAATCGAAATCGCTCCAGATGTCCACAGGTTTGGCATGTGAACACAAAATGTCCTCGCTTTTCCGCGCCTTAAAATTACGCTTTAAAGTCCTCAGACGCACGCGTGACATTGAACACTCGAAAAAATGCAGGAGTTATTTAAGATAGCAACTAACTGTTCACCTAAGATACCGATTGGCTCACCATTTTGGAAGCAATTTTCGCCATCATCGGATTAATAAAAACTCAAACGAACCATTAAACACGATAAATGTAGGATTAAACTCGACGTGAAGCCTGTTGGAGTGGATTTCTGGTGCTGAATGCTGTCGTTTTTGCAGAGGACGTGCGCGCCAGGTTTGTGAGTCAGTCCGACGCATGAACGAGACCAGCGAGTAACGAAGGGAAGGGGAAAGACGACGTTTTGAGCATTTTTACACCCCAAAAAACGATTATGTATCAGAAATAATCACAAAAATATAATGCTTTATATCTGAAAGTGTCTAAATGAAAACACCGTGGTCAAAAATTCACAAAAATTGCTTTATTTCATCGGATTCTTGCCTTAGAAATCGTCGATGATAATTACTCGAGTACTGATCACTTTCTTTTTTATACACTATTTACAACTTCCATGGGCTTTAAATCACCCTAAATTGTGAATCAATCTTGTAAAGACACATTGATCATCTGTCAGACATTGATTTTAGCGTTTTATATTGTTTATTTTCGTTTTAATCGTGGGAAAAGTAACGTAACGCGCTTTGCAAACCAGCGTATGTCCATCACAGCGTCCAAACCCCATGAAACACATCATAAAACTCCACGTTATAAATGCGTGGGTACGTTTGCTCGTTTTGGCTTTGCAGTCGTGAACAAACTGTACCGTTTCAGGGCAGATTTTCTACGTGCCATGCCGTGATGCAGCAGTCTGGGGGTGCAGGGGGGGAGATGGGTGAACTCTTTAAATGTCATTAGTTTGATGGCGAAGGGGTGCGCAGAGATCAGCCGTCTCTGGGTCACTGTGGAGTGGAGCGGACGGAAAGCACATCCCAGACTGCGGAGGAGCGTGTCATCGTTGCAAGTCTTGACTGCAGCAACTCGTAATCTCCCCAGCCACCTCTGCAGCCGCTGTTTTAGCACCTGTTAGGACGGGAGCAGAGGATATGAGGCGTTTAAAGACTGCAGTTTGTCATTAGGAAGCTGGCTGCTGAGGTACAGGTGTATAAAATGTAAAGAATTGGATGTAAAATGATAATGTTATTGATTATAATAGTTTACACACATGTATGAAGGGTGTGTGTGTGCGTATGTGTCCAAATTCCAACGTAGTCCGACACAGACCCCACCTTAAACTAAGCAACTACTTATTTGTACCACTTTTTGTCAATGAAAACATAGGATTTTCTGTTTTTGAATTGATAATCGCTACAGCAAAGGCTCTAATTTCTTATCATTCTGAACCCGCGGATAGTTAAGTCCACGTTTTAAATCCCCCGGCCCATCACAATTTCTTCTTGTATGCATCAGGTCATATAGGACATCCTGTTCTAGGCGCAAACCGTAGCCTCCTCGTGATGTCATAACCGTACAAACGCAGCGTAGAAGGCCGTTGCACAGGGGTCTGGCTCGGGAAATGTCAATAATTTAACACGCAGCGCTGGTTTATGGGTAAAAAAAACCCGTGCTGCCCGGGCCGGCGGTATAGTGGCTAACCTGCTAACGGGAACGCTCCAGCTCCAGTTCTGATGTCATTGACTGGGATTATGATGGGGGGGAGTCTCCTGGTCGGCTGCAGGCATGTCCTGGTTTGGTGGGCAGGACGGGGGGGGGAAAGAGGAGGAGGAGGTAGAGGAGGAAGTGGAGGAGGGGGATGGGAGGGGGCCGGTAGAGTGTGCGTGATGCTGTCCACTACTATACAGTATAATGCCGTAGGGGAAAAGCTTTGGATGGATAGAAAGGGAAGGGAGGGAGAGACAGTGGAAATCCCGTGTCCCAAAGGCTGTGGGGGAGGAGGAAGGGAGGCAAATTGGCAAATTGGGAGGGGGTGACGAGACACCACTGGGCAGAATTGATCCGTACCAATGGATCAATGGGATGGGCTTTGCGTGGGACAGACTAATGTTTGTGAACGCACGGAAAATCCTAAAAAAACAAAGATATTCTGCTTATTTTGTTTAATTTGCTCATTTAATTTGGTACACCAGACTATATACGGCTCCTGAGCCACGTACAGCCCTTTTGTTGGCTCTGACTAGTCCGTTTAAGCTCATTTGGAGTTACAAAATAAACATATTTTATAATTTTACCTCATCCATGGACTAAAGCTGCATTGCTTTTATTTTAAAGGTGATTTTTAATGACATTTTTTGTAAGGCAAACTCACTTTTTCATTGTTTAGTCATAACATAAACTCTTACCAGTCTTACCAGCTCATCAAAACAATGATATTTTCTGCTTTTTATAAAGAAATACAATTAATATTATGCAGAATTGAGTTACCGGTAAGCGTTTTCAGCCGGCCCTCTACAGTATTTTCCGTTTCTAATGTGGCTCCATGGAAAAAATAAATGCCCGTCCTTGAGTTAGACAGTTATTTGGTTGTTTTTTTATTCCAGATGCCGTACCTGTTGCAAACAATCGCATACATTGTCAGGAAAAATGTGAGACTGGAGCAGAACAGCTGTCGAGGGCCATTGTTTGAAATCTGTTTTGATGGATTCAGAGGAGAGAGAGAGAGAGAAAAGTAATGCTGCAGAATAAATGCATTACTGTAGTTGTTACCCATAATGCACTGGGTGTGAAAGTGTTGGGGGAAGCGGCCAATCAGAGCACAGGGCTGTGAGGAGCTGCACTTCACATCCGCACGTGAAGGAGAGTGCTCAGAATAACACTTAGAATAATGAGTCTTATAACGAGCATAAATGATAACGATTACAGTATTAAAGTATTTCAATGGGAAACCACCGTCTTAAGTGTCATACTCTGTTACAGTGACTTATTTTGACACATTGGGCACTGGACACTCATTTCATTTGGCTTCAAGTGACAGTGCCAGAAAACTGCATTGGTCTAGTTCAAAATTAAGTACACCCAAACCAGACCAAGCTACAGGTCAGATCTGTGGAGTGGTGACGCCGCTCACAGTCAGAACACCTATCTTTCTAGGTATTTTTGAGCTATAAAATCACCTGTAGTTGAATAACCGTAAAGTAGAGCTGTTTAATGTCATACTTTGGAACATTCATGGCTGAGCAATGGCACATCTGTATAAACAAGCAGATGACAAACCCTCCACCAAAAAGTTACACAGTGCACCTTTAATGTCCAATATTTGTACCGGAATAGTTTGACTGATGAAGATTTGATGTTTCCCTATAATATGACACTGTATTGGGCCTTCATAGTTATATTTTCACTCCCATGATATACAAACAAACTGAACAAAATTATATAGTTATATTAATTGGTCGATGGAGTTTTATTTGACCAAAATTTGTATTTGTAGTCAACTAATTCTTTTGTTTAGCTTATAAGAATTGATCTGGGACAACAGCAGAAGGAGAAGGTAGTGAGTGAGTTTGCTGAAGATTTGAAATTGAATCTTGAGTTTAATCTACATTTTTTACATATAAATAAACGCTTTCTATACAAATTGCTGTTTTGGCATGAACTCCCGTGCATGTTTAGTCTTGAACACAGTTTGGGTCAGATAAGTAAGGGTGTGGCTTTTGCCCTCTTATTAGTCGACCAGTCGAGACTTTCTTTAGTCGACTACAGCCCTAATCGCTGTAGTAATTAACAATTTAAAACAAAATATTTCCACATATTGTTCCATAATAGGAGGCTGACATTCATCTGACAGTAGAGACGCCTGTGGGGAAACACTAGGGCGAACTTTAATCTACATGACAAAATGAAACTAATGACTGCAGTGATGCCATTCAAACAGCCGTGTGTTTGGTCTGGTCCCTGTGGAGGTCCCTATAGCCAATTAACTCCTGCCAACAACATATGATTTCTACTAGGGATGTAAAAATAACCGAAATATCGTGATATCGTATCGCCAAATGTCTCATAATAATATCGTGGGTCATCAAAATATATCAAAATTCATGTCTCTTTGATTAAATTCATTGTTTTGGTGCAGTAATAGCTAAAAAACAGATGGAACTACATAGACCATGATCCTTTGCTCCATCTCAGTACCAACTTGACATGATAAAGTAATATAAGTATAATATTTTATAAGCACTTTTAAATCTTAATTTTTTTTGGATTATGACAGAAGCAAAGGACTGTTAAAGCATTTTAAAACAAAAGTAGCATATTCCTAATTTTTTTTTTTTTTTCCTCCACCAAATATCGCAGTAAAACAAATCAGGTCATAAAGTTAATATCGTGACATTACATCCCTAATTTCTATGTTGATTTCGATAAGGCTTTTGCTACTTGTGCATATTCAAAATAACACTGGACTTAACGTGTATTCAGTGTTAAAAGTGGTAACGTAACAATATGCAAATCTCACTGTACGATGTTGTCACGATATTAACTTCACGATCTGATAATTATTGCCATTTTTATATCTTTATTTCATATTTTTGCTGTCATTTAGCAGTGCTTTTTCGGGACTACAGCTTCTCAAAAAATGTAACTCATCAGCACTTCTTTTGTGCTCCAACTTTTTAATCAAATCCAAACGTAAAAACATGGGGAAAAAAACCTTGCGTGATCATTTTCAGCATGTGTGCACAATCTCGTGGCAGTTTTGTTTCGCAAGATCTTGTCCTATCCCTAAATTACTATCATATTCCAAATAATTAAGATAGAAAAGTTCACTTCATACTGTCTGCAATGAAAGAACAAAGGATCATGGTCTGTGTAGCTCTTTGATTTTTTAGCTGTTGCTGCACCATAACAATAATTTTAAGCAAAGAAGTGTATAATTTGATATACTGGACTTTTTAAGATATA